GGTCATAAAGTTTGAAGCCACCAACTGAATACAGAAGCTTTAGATGAACAAAAGGGACACTAGAAAAAAAGAGGAGGATTTGTGAAACAAATACATAAAAATGCTCTCAGCCATTTCTTTATTTACAGAATATGAGCTTCAGCTAGCTATCTTGTTTGTCCTACAGGCCTCCTTTATGGAGAAAAAAATGGCTAAGGCATAGGCAATCAATTAAACAGAACTAAATTAAAGTTGTTGACAAAAAATCATAATGTGCATTTGATTATTCAGCTTCGATGAAACAAATATTTCAGGCAGCATTCAAGCTTCCATTGTTTTTATGGCCAGTATGTTTGCTGCCATGAACTCAATCACAGCACAATAGGAGGTGAGACTAAATGGTTTGACACATAACAAGTAATCCTGATAAAAGAATTGACACTCTATGCAGTGCAGAGGCTGTTACATTTTTAAATGCAAAGTTAATTTCGAGATTGATTGAAGTCTTCTGCCTTTCTTCTAGCAAAGGAATTAGCGTATTATTGTGGGCCTTCTGCAGCTCTTTGTCTAGTGTGTGGCATCTGCAGTGAGTTCAGCAGTGTTTAAAAATGCATTTGGATTTGAGCTGTAGAATAACCTTTGTGAGTACTTTTCCCCCTTGAAACTTCACAATGAATTTCATATGGAAGACGGAGGATGAAAAGGAGGAGGAGTTGGCATTAGAGCTTCACAGGATACTGAAGGATTCTGTTTACCTCGAGCCCAGGTAAATTGCTGGAGATTTAGCACACAGCTCATGCCATTTGTCTGAGCGTGACCTTGAGAGGACACCTTTTTTCTGGTTTGAGGGGGGTAATTTTGTTTCATGCACTTGTCAATCTTGCAGCTATTTCTCCAAAAGCAAGCAAGCGTGCTGAAGGAAATTGTGACAGCGCTGAGAGGTGGCCCCTCCAAAGTGTAAGGGTTGATTATTAATTAAGCTGAGACTACATCCAAAGCTGCAATGCTACAGTACCAAGTTATTTGTGTTGTTTTTGGGGGGGGTTGTGTGTGCTGGGCTAGCACAGATCTTGCACACAGGATGATTTGCAAACAAAAGCAATCATCTGTATGTGACACTGCACACTGTGTTTGCAAGTCCCCTTGCTAAAGGCAGTGATGAATCCACGCTTGCTGGAGGGCTCTGCTGGAACAGATCTGCGCTAATCAGGATGATTTTTTTGGCTCTCGGGTAATTCCTATGGTCTTAACTAAATCAGACTTTAGGGCACTTCTAATTGCTTCTCTAGCACTGATTTACAGCTGCAAATGGAAATGGTCTGCTCTGATTCCTCCGTCGAATATCAACAGGTTGTGAAGTGTTTGTGTGTGAGAGGGAGGTGGCATTGTCTGGAGATTAGCTGGAGGCTGCAGGGGCACAGAAACAAGGGAAGTCCCCTTGTCCTCGGCATGCAAATGCTCTTGTTCATTACCTTAACCCTAGCGTTGCAATTCAAAACAAGAAGAAAGAGGCTGGCAATAAATAGTGCAATGTCTGAAACTGGGAGTTACAATACACCCTAAATCGGCAAAGCATTATTAAGGAAAACTCAGATTAGCCAAAATCTGCTGAGGTTTATTCATGCTGGGAGAGCAATTTCTCTGCATTTGAATAGTTTTCCCAAATTGGATATATTTCCTTGTGCTCCAATTGGATTATAACAGAGCTACATGCAGAATGAAGATTTTACCACTTCAATGATGTGACCAACAGAAGTTATTCTTTAAGATCCGTTCAAGTCCTGAGAAACAATCACTGAGAATTGAGCACTGGGAAGGCTCATGGCAGATTAGGAAACCACCAGATTTTATTTCAAGGAGTGCTTCTGCTGGTAACTAAGATTTGTGTTGAAGTGATGGACAGTCAAGTGTTCTTCATGTGACTTCCAGTTCGCCAGGAAGGCAGGGCATGGATGTGGATATTTACTGTGGAACAAGTACACAGCAGCCTGGAGTGTTGGGGAGTGACCTGAGGTCCCAGCCAGGCACTTCTGGATGTTTTACCCAAATTAAATAATAATAAAAAATAAAATAAATGCAGTTATAAACTAGTCAGAATTTTACTTTCCAAGCTTAATAAAAAAATGTAGAATTATTACTTAGGTTTATGCACCACATGTGGTACATTTCACAGGACTAGTCAAATATTTTCCTTTTCAATTGTTTTAAAGAATGGTTTTTAAAGTTTTCTAATGGAAGACAATTTCAAAATAATTACTTGAATTCAAGCTTTTTTTAAAAGATAAGCTTTGGAATTTTAAGATGCACATTTGGGTATGTTTTCATAACTGCATTAATATTTTTCGCTGAAATTTTAAAATAAGTATAATCTAGAAATTAAAAATTGCCAGAACAGCAATGAATTACTGTACCTTATTTAAATGAAGTGTTTACTGTGATTCAAATAATTCATTAAAATTTGCTGTAGGGCAAAATGCAGATTATTGTGTTTGAGTTAATGAATAAAATTTGGTTTTTGAAACCCCTTAATTTTTCACCAGGCAAAAAAGACTGCTTCCAGCTCAGTTCTGCTGGTTTGTGTGTCATGTAGTGAAGAATCAAGCACTGAAAAGAGTTAAAGCAATTTAAGGCTCTATCTTCTTTCTCACTAATGGCATCTTCACTGCAAATCAAGCCTGAACACCATGTGAGTCATCGTACTCCTAAATTTTCTTTAGAAATTCAGTAATGCTGAAGTGAAACCTGTAACTTTCTAACAACTTTAATGGGAGTAGTATTTCACCCCAACTAACCAGGCCAGTGAAGCATCGTTGTAATCACTGTCTTATGCATAGTTCAGCAGCAATAATCTCAATTATATATAGATAACTCTTTTCTATTCATAAAGACAGCTCTAAGTCTTCAAAAACTTGTAATCTATATTTACTAGTTTGAAGCTGTTTTAATTTTATCTTTTGCTTTTGAATTTTATTTATACAATTATCTCTCCCCATAAAAACTCTTTTCTGTGTTCACTGAACATTGAACATTGAACAGCAATATGTTTCATTTGAAAAGTCTTAGCATTTCAGATTAAAATAAATTCATTAATTACTCTTTTCCCCCAAATTAATTTCATTTACTTACCTCTATATAGGCCTCTGTCTTTATTTTATCACTTAGATTTAATTCTAGGGATTAAAATCCCAAAATATTCAAGACATTTAATGCATAGGAAGAAATGACAGCACTGTCTACCACTGCAATTTCCTAAAATGCCGGGATTGGAAGGATCATCTGGTGTGTCCTTCCATGGGAAAGGGAACATAGATGAGAATATCTGTCCCCCTGTCCAACCACATATTGAAAACCTCCAGCCATGGAGACTCCACCGTGTCTCTGGAGAGTTTTTCCCAGTTAATGATTGTTCTTACTGTAAACAATTTATTTCTCATACTGACATGAAACCTTTTCCCCGTGGAACTTGTACCCACTGCCATTTGTCTTCTCCATGTGGCCCCTTGTGAAGAGAAAGACTCTATCCCCTTTCTGTCTGCCCCCTAAGTGCTGGAATACTGTCACAAGGTGCTCCCTGAGCCTTCTCTTCTCCAGGGACAAAATAACCATCTCCTTAAATCTTTCCACATAGGGCAGGTTGGGTTCTCCAGCTCTTTGATCACCTTTGTGGTGCTCCTTTGGGCTGCCTCCAGTCTATCTGAGTCTTTCTGGAATTGTGGTGACCAGACCTGTGCTGTGCTCCAGGTGCAGCCTGTCAAGGCTGAGCAGAGTGGGATGATCACAGCTCTTGTCCCTGGTTGCATTGCTCTGTGGATGCAGCTCAGGATCTGCTTTGCCTTTGCTGCTGCAGAGGTGCCCTGCTGACTCCTGCTTGGGGTGTGACCCACCAGCATCTCCAGCCCCCTTCAGCAAGGCTGTCCCCAGCCCCAGAACCTGCAGTGTGCTGGCCTCCTTGGTTATGTCACCCCAAGACTTTGCACTTGGCTTTGTTAAACTTCATGTTGTTCTCCCTCACCCGCTCTCCCAGCCCAGTCCAGGGCTGTCTGTAAGGTGGGGTCACCCTTCTGCCATGGTCATCTCACCACCTGGGCCTGTGTCACCAGCAAAAGTGTGCTTTCAATCCCATCATACTCAGGAACATGTTGAGCAGCATGGGGCCCAGTATCAGACTCTTGAGACCCCTTTTGGGACCAGCTCATACTTTCCAAGAATGCAGTTAACTGGGTGGGTTACAGAAGAGTTACCACAACTGAGCAAACCAAAAGCATGCTCAGTTACTTCACAGCACTTCATTTCCTCAAGTATTTTGGCTCCATGGGTAATGCAGGTTACCTTCTCTCACTTTATCCCCAAGGCTTAGTGCAAAAACTACATGGTGAAGATAAAATATTCAGCAGTTGCTCATTCAGAGAGCACCAGCTGAGGACTTTGTGAAAAAGGGGCCTGTGATCATGTAATTAACGACAGGAGCAAAATACATATTTATGAGCTAGATGGATTTTGGTGTTTCCTAATTTTTGAGCACTTGTCACTGTAATCTTAATATTTAAAACATTTCTTCTGCGTGTGTAGCATGTCAGTCAGTGTGGGCAACAGAAGGCATGACTGGCTCCCAAACCTGCTGCTCCTAAGAGCCCACTTGGCTTTTGGGCACCAAGTAACAACCAAAACTGCCTTTTTTGTCTCTCCAGCAGGAGAGTCAGTCCATGAGGACTATCCTTCCTGATAGAAGATAGAGGGAAGAGTTTTATGGATTTTTTTTTTACCCTGTGATCCAACTCACAGAAAGAATTTTGGCTCTTCTCACTCTTATGCAAGTTATCTCACAGATGTAGGTGATGTTAAGAATTCAGAAATCAGAATTGAAAGGGACTACCTAAAGCATTTAAAAATGAAATTTGGGGTGGCTGTCACCAGATTTATTTTAATTAATAAACTGAATGGCTTTAAATATCCAATAAATATCACCTCAGATCTTAATCACTCCAGCTGCCTTTATTTAGGCTTGCACATTCTCTGCACAGTGGTTATTTCAGCTGTAGTAAAGGTAAAGTACTAGAAACAGAAAAAACATGCAAATAAAATTCCTGCACGTCCTTCAGAAACTGTCTGTGCAGCCTGTAATTTCTAGGGCAAAGGTTTGATGTCTGATGCTTCAAGTGAAGTTTGAAACTGAAACAAACCCTGGCTCCTGTGGAGAAGAAAATGTGTAGAGGAAGTTTGTCCTTTATAATCAGAGCACCTAAGAAAAAGTATTAGATCTAAAATATAAAGGTTTTTTCAGAGCAGGCCTCTTTAAAAAATCAAGACAGAGAATTTTTTTCTGCATTTTTTAATAAGATTTACATTGAAAAATAAGATTTTCAAGGTCTCTCTCTCAATGCTGCCATCCTAGACAGAGTAGTAAGGAGATTAACTGTTTAACTGTTTAAGTGAAATGCAGAATCACAATATATACTCACATAACAGTTTTTAAAGTATTCTTATAAAAATATTGTGTTGATAAATAATTTTATTACATTTTCACTTAGAAAGAGGGCCTGCCCTTGTTTCTGTGGTTTTTATGGCACTTTCAGCATGTCCATTCCTCTGTAAAACTGTAGAAAAGAGATTAATGAAAAATTGGCAATAATTGTTGGAGTTAGGCCTCCAAACAGAGCACACAAAATCAACTTCCTATTACACCATTGGTTTATTGTGTGGAAATAAACATCACAAGGGCTTTTTCAGAGGATTAGGTTAAGGGAGGACAATTTCAAGGTAAAATCTTATAAAATATATTAGAACTTTCCCATTATATGTGCTTGTGAGCATGTAGACATGAGTGTAAATACATATATAAAGGCTTCTGGGATGATATCATCTTATTAACACTTAAATCCTAGAGAGATGAACACATGCTAGTGTTGCAAATTTATCTAAAGGAGAAAATTTGTATTATTGTGACTACCTCCACCAAAAGAAGGATTAAGGTCAGAGGCAGTGACCAGTTACAGTGATGTTTTCCATCAGACTCACTAAGTGTCAGGTGTGGCTGTGCCTAAGACAATATTATACATTTTTAAAAGTTTAGATCACATATGACATCATACAGAAACATGGGGGGGGGGGGGAGGGGGAATAAAAAATAATTATTACCTGTGTATGAATGTTTGGTTTCAATCTTTGAGCTTCCTTGAACTCATGGCTGCTGAGAGTAATTTTGTCAGCAGTTTCATTATTTTATGCCTAAAGGTAGGCAATTATATTTTGTATTTGAGTTTCAAATATCCTCTGAAAATCAGGTGATTTATTTAAGTGCTTTGCTGTGAACTTTGCCCAATTCTGTTACTCAGACTGGAATATATTGGCTAGTATTCTTCAAAAGTTTGTCTCAGAATTAACAGACATATGCAAACAGGCATATTTTGATCTGTTCAGTTTTTGTGTTCCTGCTTCTTTTAATAGGTCCTCAAACATCACGTACAACCTTTTGTCCATCTCCTTCTCCACAGGACTATATTTATAAATGGTTTCACCTTTAATATGGCCCTGCTTTCCTATTTTAGAGAACAGAAATGACTTATCAGCCTGGTAGCAGATCCCTATTTTGTCTGCCTCCCATAATCCATCAGGAGAGGGTTAAGAAAAGGACCAGTTATCTCATAGCAGTCAAATTCTTTGTACATCATTGAGTTTTACATTGAACATCTCTGTGTGCTGTCAGCTGCAGAGAAAGAAGATTACACTGTGTGTCTGCTACATGAATACCCTGTAAATACTGCTTTGGTGCAAAAGGCAGATTTCTAATCTGCTATGAAATAAACAGAAACTGCTGGTCATTTTAGCATTCAAATAGCCAAATTTGGTTGTTCTAATGCACAACAGCAATTTACTTCATGCATTAACAGAAAGCTAACAGCACAACTGCCAAAATATCCAAAGGAGTAAAACAAACCCCACAAATGAGAGAGGTTATGAAAATCTTTAGAGCAGTCCTTTATACTAGGCTGCTCACCAGCATTTACAGTGCAAACAGATCTTTTTTGAATCTTTAAATAGTTTTGAATCACTGACCCTCAAGTTGCAAAGAGTAGCCATTCTTGAATGTATGTTGTTACCCAAAGCATGTCTGTCTACAGGAATACATGAGGCTCTAGTACCTTCCAGAGGAGAAAAAAATCTGAATTAGAGTGGTAGAGGTTTCTTGTAGGGTGCTCTTGTATCTTTTGAGAAATGACAGACATCTTTATGAGGTGATGCAACACTCACAGAATCACAGCAAATGTGCAGATTGCTCATTCTGCTGCTGGCGGGGATTTTAATAGTATAGCCTGCATGGGGCTTTGTTTTCACAGCCAGACACAGGAACAAATTCAAACTTCATAATTAGGGCATAACCCAAATCCCAGGCTCTTAAAAACCTCTATTTAACTCTGCTGTTTGTTATGTTTCCCCAAGGACTCAATACTGATCAATAGCTGAAATTTGAATGCTGGCAATAGGGGGCTTTTACAAATAATGGCCCTGGTAAAGTCCATAGTGCAGCAAACAACCTTAGTACCAGGGATCTTCATTTAAGAGATTCCTACATTTAGAATATACCTCTTTCTTGTGGCACTTGTAAGTATTATGATTTAAAAATTGGTGTAGACCCTTAGTAAGAGGCTGGACTGTTTTAAATGTCAGAGAGAAAATATCAACTTCTTTATAGAGTGATCAGGTTTGGTAAGTGAAATGATACAGCACAGAGACCCATCGTGATGGGTTTATGCCATCTCAGTTTAATTCAAAGGAAATTCTGCACATCAGTTGTTATTCTTTGACAGTTTTTTTTTTATTTCTTCTGTTGTCATTTCAGTGCAGGGAGAGTCTTCAAATTTTTAAGATACATTGGTTGCCCTCTATTTCTTATGCAACACTGGAAGCATCACAAAAGTCTGCTTACAAGTGAGAATGCTGTCCTACCTAATGAGTGCAATGCTCTGGTTTGGGGCACAGGATTTCATTCCCAGCTCTGTTACTGGCCTGCTTGTGACCATATGACAAGGATGCAGCTCCGTGTGGCTGCATCTTTGGTAAAAACAGTAAGTCTAGGTCAGTGTCACCAAATTAAATGGGTGAAAAATGCAGCTTACTTATTGTGGTTTAAATTCTGATCCACATTCTTTAAAGAATGAAAATTGCAAAGGCTAGTGACTCTGAATAAAAATGATATTTTTCTTAGGTATGCAGTTTCTCCTGCTGTTGCCAATTAGAATTCTACATGTACTTTCAAAATTGGACTTCAAATCTTGGGCATGGCATTTTTTTCCAGCTTAGCCTATAAGGAAAAAAATGGCTTTGAACTCTTAACCAGGACATTTTAAGAGGGAAAGAAGGAAAAAATTCTTTCATTCTTGATATCTGGCATCCTTTATTTTTTTGTCTGAGCTTTGAATTACTGTTGTTGGGTTGGGGTTTTTTATTTCTCTTTTAATGAAAGTGTTGTGGGGGGAAAAAAGGGAATCCTTTCTAGTACATGACATAAAAGAAATAATAAGTGCAACAGAATATAGCTGGAAGAAATGAAAACTCTTTTGGTCTTAGATTTCTCTGGCTTCAGCTTTCCATCAGAGTAAGTGTCTAGCTTAGTCTGGGAAATGGCAGTCACATTAGAATTTGCTTTTCCTAAATCCATTTGTGAAAACACTTGTTTCTTCAACTGGTATAGAATTAAACTACACATTTTTCTTTTTTACCTTTTTTTTTTTCTTCTACTTTTAGAGACTGAGGTCTTAGCTTTGCCAGTCAAGCTTTCTCTCAGACAAAGGTGTATACTGAATCCAGTAAAGATCAGGGGCTTCATATGAAAATAATTTACAATTTGCACATATTTACAATTATTTTATCTTTTCAGCTTAGTGAAAAATCACAGCTTTTTAATAATAGTAACCTCTGATCATGGGAGTGACTGCAGTGTATGCTGGCTCCAGGCTTGGAGTCAACTGCTGGTCTAGAGCCTTGTTTTGTATTTTCAAAACAGTAAGCATTCCATTTTCCACAGTAGCATATAGGAACACTGGCTCCTTGGCTTTGGTCTGTTCAACCCCAGATAAGCAAGTCATTCCAACTTTAACTAATAAGAACTTGAATTATTGCCAAAAGATGTGTTAAAAGTACAATAGCAAGTCTAAAAATCAAAATACATCATTCATTCCCTCTGGAATGGATTCCTGATGCTCAAAGGCTTCATTTCAATCCCAAAGCAAATACGAGCAACTTTGAATAGCTGTGTACCATCTTTTGAAGTTATTTTTATTTTAAAAAAGGAAGAAAACTTTTCTTACTATGCTGTATCCTCAAATCTTATTAATCAATAAAGCCTTAAAGTGGCAAGTCAGTCACATCCTCCTGCTAGGGTAAATGATGGTTTAAACCCTTTCTAAAAATTGCTTCCTTTCTTCCTCTCTTCTCCATCATAACATTTGTTTTGTTACAGGCTGCAAATGTGCTTTTCTGACTGCACTTTGTCACCCACAGATTCCACTGCACAGTGGGTGGAGAGCTGGGGATTTGTGTTCTGTTTTCATGCAGAGCTGTGCATTAAAAAATGTGCTGCTGCTGTTGTATTGTGAACAGAACATCTTACCCAAACAGACAACTGAAAGTCTTTCCAATCTAAATAAAACTAAATAAAGCAACTTGATTACTTTCTGTACAGAAAATAAGAATACAAAGGGGGAAAAAAAGAGTAGGGAAAAAAAAAGGCAAAAATCTTAAATCTCTGGTGATACCTATGCATGTATATTTGGTTATGGTTCCATTTATCATAAACTAAAGTCTTGTGCTTTAATGAGGAGACAAGAGGCATCAATTGTGCCCCTTGTTATTAGTTCAACTTTTCATTATGAGTAATTCTGACCTGTATAATGAAATCAGATTATGTGTGAAAAATGAAGCAGTGCTGTACTGAAATGCAGTGTGAAGGTCAAATGTGGATTTGTAGCTGTAGGAAACAACTGTAGCTGTTGTCTTTTTTCAAATAGACCGAGCAAAACATTTCTGATTCTGAAATACAATTCGAGAGGGAGATAAAAGGAACAAGGAAAGAGAGGTATGGCTTAAACACCCAAAAAGAGAAGGAACTGAAAAATGTCATGTCTTAAGACAACCTATGACACAGAACTTGATTCCAGTCACTAACTCTTCTTCTGTTTTGTTTTGTGTACACAGGGAATTACAATACTCATCAAGGGTCTGGGTCAGGCCCCTCGTGTTGGTAATGAAAACACATCCACTGCTTGTAGTGGTAGCTCATCATTCAGGGCTTCCAGAGGTTCATGCTTATTTATAAGTAGATTGTTCCTGGATTCATTTGTATTATTTAGAGGTGAAAATGTCACACTGATGCTTAGGAAATGAAATGATATGACAATATTTGTTCTGCATTTAAATGTTTAAGTTCTGTGTGGCATACTTTAAGTGAAACACAGACATTCTGAGAATGATTATGGCATTAATCAAATGCCTTCCGTATGATTGGTATGGATTTAATACATTTAAAACAAAGTTTTGAGAGTTTGCTTTTTCTTTCTTTTCCAAAATTTTAATTTTGCAGAAGGCCAAGAAACATTGAAAAAACCTGATTTTAATATTGTTGAATGTAATTGAAAAGAGCAAAGTCAATAAGGAACAAAATGTATTTCTAAATAACTATTTAAGGAGGAAAGTGTTTAAATATGCAAGTGTTAGCAAGAGTTATCTAGCTTACTGTAGCAAATAGTCACAGTCTAGGAAGTTGATGCTTCTATTCAAAAAACCCCGCATTCAAAATGCACTCTCAACAAAGACTGCAGGTCTGTTCAAATTTAGAGAAAAGAATTACATAGTTCAGAAATTATTCCAAAAGGATGGAACAAGCAAGACTTGAACTGCAAACTCTGGGTCTGGGAACATGCAGGCCATGAGGAACAAGGTCTCAGACACAAATCTAAGTCCTGGATTGTCCCTTGTTTGTAGACCCAGGAAAGGTCAATTCCTATTTTGATCTTTGAAAGAGCAAAATAATTCATATCCCTCTTCTGGCCAAGGCTTTGCTTCAATTCACCTGCTCTGCCCCCAGCTGTCTTCACTTTGGAAAGGTTTGTAGGGCTGCCTCCCTTCTTCCAGGTGCAAATCATTACAGGCTTATATTGAGATATCCCAGTATCAGTGGGAGAATAAATACTACAAAAGGTTGAAGTTTCATCTGTTCTCTATCAAAGTTGGAAAAATATGGCTCTTAGAAGGGGATGTAAATTCTGGTAAGTCATCAATGGCTGAAGTGTTTTGTTTTTCTGGTGTTGATGTCTCAATTTATTTCATATTTTCAACAGACTATCTTAACTGCTTCCCTTGCACTCTAGCAAACTCATCTCTTTTCATTCATTAGTGGTTTATTATGTTTTGTAGAAGTAGGTATGAGAGTACAAAATTACTTCCTATTTAGTGATGTGTGTTGTTAAACCAATGCTGACTATCAGTGAAGAATTAGTTTTTGTCTCTCCAGCTGGAATATTTTAAGTTGTGAGGGACTTTGACATCTTTTAGATGGCATGAGTTTTATTATGCAGATAAGCAGAATAGATTCTAAAAATGCTTTCACACAATCCCACACAACTTCATGTGTTAATATGAGGAACTTGTAAATTGTCAGCACTAACAAAATAATTTGCTGAGCTGCCTCTTTAGGACAGTTATGCATTACTGAGATAATAATTTTTGGTCTATAAATACAATTCTATGTAAAGAAATATCTATGTCACTAGATATCACTGCAGCAGTGACATCTCTTTATGAAATTTCTGGTTTAAAAAGGTGTTCCTGGTTTTAATCTGAAATAAGATCAAAATAAAAAAAAATGCAATGGGGAAATGATTGCTACTCTTGATCATGTTTCTGTCCCCAGAGTAAATCAAAACACAGTTTACTAGGGAAAGGTGAATATCATGGATTTGAGAGCATTGGGAGCTTTGCCAAATTTTTAATTAAAGTATAGGGAGTCACACTTAAAGCTTCAGGAAAGAGTGGGAGAAGAGGGTTGTAGGCTGCTCCATTCCACACAGCTTACACCCCTTCATGGAGAAATGCTGGTTTCCAGCAAAGACTTTGCTTATGCAAAATCTTGACTTTCCCTGATCTGAGCTTGTCAGTTTGGTCTGAAACAGAAGACTCTTTATCAGGATGTCTGATTAATTGTATATCATAATGTCTGAGACAGCTGTAGACTTCAGTTAGCTGTCACTTATCCAAGTTTACCCAAAACTGAATAGCAACTCCTCTGGCAACTAATCCTTTATTATATTACCTCAAAGTGAAACACTGCTGAAGAAAGGATCTGAGATTTGTCTCACTCTGGCAAAGTTATGATTAGCTGGTTTATTTATTTGCAGGCTATCTGTGTTGTATGCTTTACTAAAACAATGAATGACAAATTAGAGGTCCACATCTTGGCTCAAAAAGGCTGTTTCCCTTTCCACTGGCAGAAATCAGGACACCAGATCTCAGGTGCCAGGGGCTGCAAACTGAGGTCTACTGCAAGGGTAGAGAAGGAGAGATGCTTTGGAAGAGGAGAGCTGCCTGCTGCAAGGACACTGAGCCTATAGAGACTTGTGCATGTATCCAGAGCTGTGTGTCAGGGCTGGGCTGACCCAGTAAGGCCCTGGAATTCACCCTTTCCAAAAATCTTAGTCTCAACATTGCTGAGTTTTCACAACATGATGAGTAGCTTCTACATTGGGGGTTAGCATTTTGTGCTGTCATAGAAATCAGTCTTGAAGAACTGGAACCTTTTGCTGTCTCGTCTTGGTGAACGAGTGGTCTCTTTCCTCAAAGGCTCTGGCTGCCCAGGCATCCATCACATTCACCTTCAGGGTGAATTTTAAATCTAAGCCACCTAACTTAGAGGTGCAACCGTCTGCCTTTTGCAGTGAGAGGTGATGAGCTACCTCTCGGCAGCTTCCTTCACATATTCCCTTGTGCATTTGATTCTGGTTCCATGTCCCAGGTCAGCTGGAGGGAGGCTCCAGCCCAAAAGAGCACAGGGGTGTCCCAGAAGCCCAGGGCTGTGTTGTAACAGCAGCAGGTACAGCAAGTTAGAGGCTGGTGATGTGTTTGAGAACGAGGTGGTCCCCCCTGGGGCTGACTCTGAACTTAACATCTTACAGGCTTTCTCAAGTGTAATGGAAAGTATTTGTTAGTACTCAGATTATTTCTTTTACAAGAACGGACTGAGAACCCGCTGAAAATGGGTCCCTTTGTCCAGGAAACAGCCCAGTTGTCTCCATTTTATTGATTCATACTCAACAGGGCAAGGCCCAGAGTCACCAAGTCTTGGTAGTGCTTGCAGAGTCTGACCCATAGTGTCCCTGCCATAGTATTGGCAGCACTAAAAAGTAAATTTCATATG